TTGTCTTTTGGCAATAGCCATTCCAGTTTCTTTCTAAATATACATATTGAGTTATTTCTATTTTGTCATCTTTCTTTGAGAGAAGTTTCACTTGTTTATTTGTCTTTATCAAATTCTTATCCTTGACACTTTTAAACCATAATCTTTCAAAGTGGACTTCTAAATATAAAGTTTCATTTGGAATAACATTTTAATGACTTTAAATCAAAGAAGATAATTTGTAGAGTAATCTTTAGCTTCTTTAAGCATGAATTTGAATATAGTTGATTTTTTTTACATTTGATAGATTAGCAATCTAAATCTGACAAGTTTTTCAAAGCAAGTTTGGAATTGCAAGAAGAAATGAATTGCAATGATTGTGTTGTATGTAAATATCTTATTTTTTATTGATAATTACTTATTAAAATAGATTAGCTTATAAACCAATTAGATTAAAATTTTAAAAACTATGATTATAGAGACTTATATCCAGTAATCTATTTTGATATGTTTGATGAAAGTCATTTTGATGTTTAATTGCAATCCGTGTGTGAATTCTACCAATCAATCTTAATTGGTAGAATTATTAAAATTATGGTTTTAAATTATTGAAATATAAAATAATAAGAATTAATGAATTTTTTGATTATTTATATATTTATTATAATTTAGAAGAATTTATAAGATAGAAGAATCACATTAAAGAAAAAATCATTAAGATTGAATCTTAGAAAGTCTTGGAACCAATTATCTAAGTTGATTTAGTATTTTTGCTTATTGTTGAATACAAATATTTAGTCATAGAGTCTAATGTCTTCAGTAGCATTCTATCTATATGTATTATATATATATATATATATATATATATACAAAAACTCCATAAATATAAGTTAGTAATAAAAAGAAGCATAAAAAGAACTTCATATTATTTTAATTATGTATATAGAAAATTAAAAAATTAATTAATTACAATTGATTTTATTAGTATAACAATTATCAAGATAGAAAAATATATTTTTAATTTGATATAGCATTATAGAAATATTACAAAAAAATTTAAATTTTCTTTAGAATTTATTTAAAATTATTTAGGAACTTCTAGATTAATTTTTAAGACTTTAATAATAATAAAATTTTACTAATTTGAAAGGCTATTATAAAAAGGTGGAATAAGATTTGAAGGCCATTCAAGGTTTCTTCACTAATATATTATTTTCAAATACCATTTTAAAGTCAAAAATGAAAAAATATTAGTTTTACTAAAAAAGAATAGAATGACCAATAGCTAGTATAGTCCTTCTAGGAAGAAAGTTGCATAAGTCCCATATGGATGTAAGTAGGAGGATAAGACCCAAGTTTTGTGACCATTCTAGAACATCCATATGCACTACTTGTGAGCCTTGGTGAAGTTGAAATCATTAATCTTTTAAGAAAATTATCTTTGAGGTAAATTTAATTCACTAATTTTTTTATTATTTAATATATATTTTTGAATCTTCATAACTTACTTATAAAAAATTAAATTTACATGTTCTTAATGTTATTAGAAAGATAATAAGATTATCTATTTAAAAATATATAATTTATCTTTTAATTTAATTTTTTATTGAATAAAAATTTAGTGAACAGATTGTAATTAGTTTTGTAGGTAAATTTTTATAACTATATATATTTCTAAAATTGAATGTGTAATTGCTTAGTTATAATTCATTCACTTATTTTATGTTATTTTTCTTTGTTTTTATTATTTTATTTTTTTACTTTATACCATCAATAATAAATAATTTTTTATTAGAGCCATCTTATGATTTAGATTGAAGAATTTTTTTTTATCTTTGCACCATGGAATGTATCCAACTAAGAATATGTATTGGAAAATCAACAATTAAATAATACATAAACATTTCAAATAATACAAAACATCCTATAGTAATTTAATTATTTAATAAAATTTTAAAAAATTATATTATAATATAAAAAAAAATTTGAAAAAATATAATAATTATAAAATAAAATAATATTACATGAAATCAATAAATAAAAAATTTAATTAATTAAATTTTCTTTGATTTCCATAATCAATACAAAACCTTCAATTTTAGAAATATATATAGTTATAAAATTTTAATATTTAAATATATATATAAATAAATATTAAATTAATCTTAATAGTGATTAAATCAATCCCTTTTTATTATACTTCTCCTCTCTTGTTTTCATTTCCAATCCTTATTTGTTGTTCATATTCTTAGTCAATTCTTTCCATCTCAATCTTTCTTTTCATCTCTTCTCTCCTTTCTCCCTAATTTTCCATTTATGTTTTTAATTAATGTCTTTTATCTCAATTCTTCTTTCTTTTTTTCCTTTCTCTCCTCTCTCTTCTATTGTTGGCCATTTCTACTCCTAATCCTTGTTTTTTTATCATGATCTTCTCTACTTGTTGTTCATCTTATAATCCTTTTAAACAATGGCTAGGTTTTAGGATTTAACTTATACTTCCATAAAAGTGTATGTTTTTGTATTTTCTTTCTTTTTATTTCTTGAAGTGAGTGAGTGAGTGAGTGAGTGAGTGAGTTGAGTTCTTCTTCCTATTTTTTGGAACAACAAACAACATCCAAATGTCAATTTAAAGAATTCCATTGATTTGATTCAATGCTAATCTAATATATATCTTAAAAAAATTATTATATTAGCTATAAATATTTAAATCTTATTTTACCAAAAAATATTAAAAAATCCTATTGAAATTATTCAAAAGGTTTAACTTAGGCATTTATGTAGGTCTACAACATCAATCACGGCTAAAAAACACAATGAGATAAATCTACAAGCAACACTTTATATTCTCTCATCTACAAAAAATTTAATCAACTTTATTAATCCACAAAATAAGACATCAAACATAACAATTAATTTTAGAGAAATCTATTAAATTGCAAGAAAGTAGACACTAAGTCAATGAAGGAATATCTTGTCTTTTGAGCAAGCTCACTAATTCTTCTATTGAATATTGTAAATAAGAATGCAAACCAAGTGATGAAGCAGATGCCACATTTGCAACAAATGTACAATTGAATAAAGTAACAATTGTGGTAAGAAAGTAAAGATGAGAGATTCCATAACTAAAAGTGCATCTAGGAGCAAGAGCATTAGAAGTACTCTTTGTGGAGCTAAACAATAAAGAATGCATCTCAATAGTAGTGACAATGAATGAATGAGTGGGATTCTAAATTTAATTGGCCCGATTGAAAAAAGCACCAAAATTAAAAATAATATGAAGAAGAGAGGAGGAGCTTGACTCACTTACTTACTCTAAGAAAAAGTAAAAAACATAGAAACATGTACTTATATGGAAGAATAGATTAAATGGGATCACCGTTTGAGGAGGTTAGAATGAAAACAATAAACATGGAAGGTCATGACAAGGAGATGGGGCTGAAAACAAGAACATCAAACAAAGGAGAGAGGTGAGGAGGTTGTGAAGCATGATAGAGGCTAGGAATAAGAATGGCAAACATGGATTGAGAAGGGGGAGGAGAATACAATGATGGGTGGATCAATTTAACCACTACTAGGATCAACTTAATATTTCTTTATCTATATATATATATATATATAAAATTTTTGTAAAGTTACAACCATTGAAAAATTGTATTTGAAAAAAGAGTTTTTGAAAAGATCATTATTTATTATTTGTATGATTTTTTAAAACTACAATAAAAATAAGATAAAAATTTTAATTTTTAAAAATCTGATATTTTTGATGTATTTTTATATTCATTCTTAGGTGTTGCAATATTTCTATATTATTGAAGTAGAACTATTGCAATGAACAAAAAAAAAAAAAAAAATTAATTATATATAGAATATTTTTAAAAAATATCTATTGAATTTCTTGAGCCATGTCACTTTAAAAGAAAGAAGCATTTACATGGATTATGTGACCATTGACCAAATTTTTTGCAAGAAAGAATGATTTATTTTATAATTTAAAATTGCACTATAAAAAAATGATTTTAAAAATTGAAGTTTTTTTATTATATAAATTACTAACATAAAAAATAGAAAGATTAAAAATTAATAATAACCAAAAATCTAAAAACAGCAACAAAAAGAGATAAAAAGGAGAGAAAGTTTAGAAAAAAATTATTTTCAAAGAATATACAAAAAAATTATAAATCAAATTGGTAATTTTTATTTTGAACCCAGGATTTTTTAAAATATCTCATTATGTTAATTCATTAGTTCATTGTTGGCTTATTGAAATTAACTTGTACAAGATGCAATAATTTGATAAAGATTATAAACTCTGTACTTTAGTAAAAAGATTACTTTGATTTCAGCAATATGATTTGCTAATAATTGTAAATTTCATGGTCATTTTTAGATGCAAAATCAAAGTAAAAAGTCACAGTTTTTTGCAATTTTCTTGTGTTTGTCAAATAACTTGTGAATGTAAATTAAAAAAATTGCAGATTCTTGCTCTACCAGTCTTGTTAAGAATTTGTGCATATTGATTACTAAATCAAATTCCTGGTTTATGTATGTGCTGCTAGATACAAGAATCAAGTCCACTCTTAGGTTGGTAAAGTGCCAAATACATTTTTCTCATTAATAACAGTTGATCATGTATTTTATACATAAAAATTTACTCTAGATATTTTAAAAAATAAATTATGTCATGTTTAATATAAATTATACATCTCAAGGTTATAAACTCATATTTTTAAGAACGAACATAGCAGAAGAAGAAGAAGAAAGAAAGAAAAAAAATAAACGTGTGGTTTTGCAAGCTAGCCTTGAACATTGGGGGTTCTATCAGCGTCAACTTGTGTAGATGGTAAGTCTGTTCGTGGCTTGGAACCTGTTTGACCGTCACTCGGCATAGCAGAGGCCCCAAGACCACTGACAACTGCCCAGGCTTTGAAGGTCAGAAATGTGCTTCAATTCGTGGATTTACGCACTGTCTTGGTGATGGGCTCCTGATTTCTTTCTAGAGGTGACGTAATAGGGTGCCCGGGTGCTAAGGCAGCTCCATTGTCGATCTCGGTAATCCTCGACACACGCATCGGCGAGGTAGGGCTTGGATGCTGGACGGAGACGTAACGATGCGCGTGTTTCTGGCAGCAAGGAAGCTCTTTCCTTGCATGTACCATCTTGCTGGCTGACTTGATTGCTGCCCAAGTTGATGCTCTCCCCGATTTGGTTTTATTGGTCGGCCGCTCTCTTGGTGCTTCACTGCCATGGCTCTCGTGGATTATGCCTCCGATGACGACGAGGACGATGCTCTCGCCTCTCCCAGGTGCAGGTCTCCCTTTACCTCATGCCCTGTCTATCTTCTTTCCAAATCTGATTTTACTTTTAAATTTTCTTCTCCCTTAATTATTTCCTTTCTCTTGCAGCTCTCCCGTTACTCTTCCAACACCTCCTAGCACCCTAATCGTCGCTCCGCCACCCCCTCCACCAACTTCTGTCTTGCCTAACCCTGCTCATCTTTTCGCCACCTCCACGGCGGTTGCCTCCACCAGCATTTCTTCTCTTTCTAGGAAGCGGCTCCAATCAAATGGGAGCGCACATCCTTCACATCATCCCAAAGTCCCGCGCGTTAATTCTTCATCTGCCCGGACTTCAGTGGGAAGCACCCTTGTGCCCCCACAGCTGAGAGGAAGGTCAGTCTTTTGTTTTTCCTGACTGCATTGTCTTTTGTTTTTCTTGGACTCCATTACCGCGGACAGCCCCTGCACTTCTGTCCCGCGTGCATCATTATTTTCTGGGGACAATTTGCAAACCTTGTAATAGCTGTGGTGCACACTTTTTCAGGAGTAATGTGGCGACTGAGGATCTGGATAAACTCTTCGTTCACAGGCAACAACGGAGACCAGGATAGAACTTTCCGTGTAGAAAGCTGAGCGAACTACTTTCAGTAATGTAGGTTTTTTATCTGTGTCTAATGTGAGATTTACAGAATCGCTTCATGACAGCTTTTAATTAGTTTTCCGTCTTATACGTTGTATGCAAATGCCAAGGTTTAGGATTACCTGAATATGATTTGTACAGAATATCTCTTTCACTCTGGGGTTAGTCGTTAGTGGTGGTTTCTTGTTCTCATTGTTAACTTTTTGCATCTCACATTTGTCGCAATGGTTTTTCGAAGGTATCTTTTAAATTATAAAGTGAACCTCTAAAGTACTTATCATACTCTTCCTTGACAAACTCACAATAAAACATTTAACTTTAAAAAATAAACGTCTCAATTATTAATTGAAATGTAGATGACGTTAAGAGATATGTACAGAGCTTCTGTACCTAGCTGATAAGCTCTGCTAATCCTCAAAGTTTTAGGTGCCAACCTAAAAATATTCAGCTTGTCTTGGTGTTCAAAGGCATTTCCATGTACTTAGCAAACATAGCCATAGCATGTCGAAACAATTATTTAATTATTTGACTAAAATTCAACTTAAAATTGTACATCAATTGAAATAATGTCTTTAATTTTCAATACCACTCACAAATAGTTTTTGAGTTTGCTATTCTTTGAAATTCATCTTCCTAATGTTACAACCTTTTAATTTGCAACATATTTATAGTTACCATCTTTTGCTCCAACTTGTTTGTAATTCAAGTCCTTCGTAAGTTAGTTGATCAATCAACTTTTTACTTTACGTTCCAAACTTGATGTATTTATCATTGCTTTAATAGCAATGGTTTAAAAATATGGCATTAAGATTCAATGACATATTTGTAGTGTTTGAACATTTGGAATCAAGTCTATGTTTTAGAGTTATAATATCAAAGATAAAATTGGTATCAACTTTTGTATGGATTCAATCTATTCATATTCTTCAAGAAAATCATCTTCGTCAGATATAATTTGGATTTATTTAAAATGTGGTGTACGGGGTTACTTTGAGATTTGACGTCATGCAACAATTCTATGGATGTAATATGTACTAAGATTTTGGCACAATGACTATCACTCTTAACAACCACACATTTCTATGAGAGTGTAGCAAATATCTTTGTCAATGTTTCATTGGTCTTAAGGATAATGACCACCAATCAATTCCATTTTCATCTTCAATCGGTGCAAAACCAAGTAAAAAAGATCTCACTTGACCTCATCTATAGTTATTTCCTTTGCCTTACAATTGCTAAAAACTTAGTACTTTAACTTTGGTTGGTGCAAGTAGTAGCATTGTTATAATAGTTGACAAAGTTTGTTGCAATGATTGTTGCACCTTGCTTGCTTTTTACAAAAAATAGGCAATTGTGTGAACTTGGTTGGAGTGGAGAGTGGTCTAATGAAGGTGTAGTAGATTGAATAGATTGCACTATAAAAATAAGTATTTGAAAACAACATGTTGAGGGCTAAGTTGATGTGGTGGTTGAAATTACAATAAGATTTTGTAAAGGGTTTGGATTAGTAATAGCTTGGTTTGTGTGTATTTATTGATAAGAATGTGTATCTTTTCTTGAGTTGTAGAGTTGCATGGTGTATTGAGCTGCAGAACAATTGTTGAATTAGATTTTATACATTGATGTTGTATAGGATTTGTAGGATCGTCGCCAAAGTAGTCAATAAAGATTGATGTCCTTTGCTTGCTTCTTACAAAAAATATGCACTTATATGAATCTAGTTGGACTAGACACTAGTTTACTAAGTGATTTTTTTTTTTATAAAATAAGAGATTTTATTTAGATTTTTTTAATAATAAAATTACTTATTGATATAATTTCTTTGTTACAGAAGTATTTACATTTTTATAAAAGGATAGGTTAGTATTTGATGGTTGAATTACTTAGAAAAATGAGCATAAGCATAGGTATAGAAAGAATTTTGAATTAATATAGAGAGATACTTTTATTATCTTTATTTTTATTTATTTATTAATTATTCTTTATATATTTATATAAAAAATTAGAAATTATAAGAATGTCATAATGAATTAATGTAATAAATACTATTAGATCTAAAAAATATAAATGTTATTTTTTTAAATAATAAAAATAATACATATAACTTGCAAGTTAAAATTTGAGATAAAAAAGATATTAGGAGTGTAGGTAAAATTGAGTGAAATCGACAAATGAGTACCATTTACAATACATTTGGTAGAGCTTTAAAGTTGGAAAGAACATAAGTTTGCTGAAAGTTATTCTTATTAGAATATGCATCAAGGTCTTTTGTTTTAATTCGTAAATTATTCAAAAGACATAATTTGATTAAATATTTTTTAAATCTTAATTTGGTTTTTTATTCAATAAAAAGAATATAAATTTAAAGTTTATAATTTAGAATTTAAGATTTAAAATTTTAAAAACTTTATATAATGATGTTATATTTTGAATATAAATTTTTTGTATTATGTTTGCATCTTGTCGAATTACTATTTAATTATGTATTATAATTTGTAATATATATATTTTTAGATAGAAGTCATTTAAGATTTAAGATTGTAATTTAAAATTAATAATTATTATATTAAAGTTGAAAGGTAAAATGAGATTATTAAAATATATAAAAAAATTAAGTTGTAGATTTAGGATTATATAAGAGTGATGATTTGATTTTAGAATTAAAATTTTAATTTGTAAAATAAAAGATTGTATGATTTGTGATATAATGTAAAAAATAGTGCTTAATAAATAATCATAAAATACCAAATAAATTTAATTTATATTTTTTTTAAGTAATGAAAAATTAAAAATGGATTTTTTAAAAATTATTTCATCATGAAATATCTTTTGAAATTATTCAAGAAATACATATTCATGTTTTGGAGCTATTTATATAATTTTTTCATATCAATATTTATAAGTATGATAGAAATATAACAAAATATCAAATATATAAGATATTTGTAAAAATACTTAAGAAAGATTTAAACTTCATATTAAAACATTCAAGATTTAGGGTTATAAGGGTGTCTCCAATTTTTAAAACTTGATATTTTTGGAATTTGACTTGATCTATCTCCCTATTCATAATATCTAAGATTTCAATAGTATAATTATTTTCTTATAAAAGTCCATAGTTTGGAAGATATAGCTACTTTGACAAGAATTTTAGGATTTTTACTTTAATCATATAAAGATTTTTAAAAATTTTAAAAAGTCCATTGGATCTATTTGAAGATTATCTATTTTAAATATGTACTTGAAGTTTTTTAAAAATACATGATTTTATAGATATAAAGTATTTAGCCATTTGGTTGTTGAATTGACTTTACATAAAAATAGATTTTTAAAGTTTTGATTTAATCTATCTTCATATTTTAAAGGTCTAGAAATCTAGTAGTAGACTTAAAATCCTATACATGTTTTTTAATTTTGAAATATAAGGCATTTGACTTGATACAATTTTTTTTTTGATTTTTTGTATACTCTATTTTTTAAAGTTTTGATTTTACCTACTTCCCTATTTGTGATACTTTTGATTCTAATTGTATATTTGAAATTCTTAGCAAATTTATAGTTTAGGAGATATAAGGTTTTCAAAATAATAAAATTTATCTTTAATTAATGTATGTTATATATATATATATATATATACATATAGTAATTCAAAAAATTATTTCAATGTTGATATATTTTGAAAAGAATGGTGTATTAAAAATTAATTGTAGTGAATAATGATACATGATTTCTATAGCAAATAAAGTACTCTTTTATAGCTATCAAATGAGCTTAGGTTGAAAATAATCCATTAGGTAATTGTGGAGCTACAACCAATCCAATTTGAAATAGTATTAAAATACTTTTTTGAATGTAATATCCAATTATATATCAGTACTTTATAGGACCTACTTTGACCTTAAAAATTACTTTTAACCTCCTAGAAATACTTTTTATTAAGTTTAGGCACATAACTGCTTCAATATTATTTCATTTTATAACTATTCTTTTCTATAATTCTCAAACTTCCTTTGGTTTTATCTTTCAAATGTTGAGTTGGCATTTGAGGTACTTCCAAAGATGTTCAAAGGAATTAAGATTAAAAGACCGAGCAGGCCAATCCATTATTTTAATCCTATGATTATCAAACAACTTCTATGCTAGTTTTGAGTTATACTTGGGGTCATTATCTTGCTGAATAATCACCTCCTCTTCAAAAATGCCAAATTCTTTAATGTTAGGAAACAAGTTTTTTTCAAGAATTTCTACAAATTGCTTAATATCCATCTTCCTCTTAGCTTCTACCATCTTTTCAATCTCATTCCATCTCATATAATCTCATACCATTATATTTTTACTTCTATGCTTAACTATTTCTTAGATCTTCTTGTTAAGCAAAGATTGACCTTTTTGTTTCCACACCTGGTTTTTGCCCTTTGATCCAAATCTATTGATTTTTATCTCATTTGACTAAATAACCTTCTTCTAATCATCTGTAATTCATTTCTTGTACTTCAAAATAAAATCCAAGCATTGTTTTCAATAGCAATTAGATAGTAGTGGTTTTTTCTTCTTCACCATGACTTTCATATTTCATTTCTTGAAAATATTTCAAATGGTTTGGATTGACACAGGATTATTGATAATATTGTTAAGGTTTTAGCAATTTCAACAATATTTTTAGCCTTCTTAATATTGATTTGGCAAATGATTGCCATTTGATCTACTATAGTGAGCTTCTTTGGTCTACCTAATTTAAGATTTTTCCTATAAAAAGTGATATATATTTAGAAAAATATATATTTAGAAAAATGTATATTTAGAAAAATGTATATTTAGAAAAAAATGTATATTTAGAAAAAAAGTGATATATTTTTCTAAATATAAAATAATAGCCTTATTGCAACTAAATTTCGAAGCAATTTGGCCATAAGATTTTTGAGAATGAAGAAGAGTAGAAGTGATGTTGTCTTAGAAAGAGCAAGAAATGAGTTTCATAGTTGGTTAAAGAATTTTTAAGGATACAAGAATCTCACAAAGAAATATGTCAAGATTAAAAACAAAGAATGAGATTGCTAGCAAAAGTGATTTTAAAGACTCCTATTTATACTATAATGAAGGTTACATCAGTCTATGGTACCTTCTATGGAAGTTTTTAGAAGTCTAAAGAAGCTT